TTTTCTTGCCAAACATGTGGAAAAAGTTTCCCATTTAGCAGTAGCCTGCGGGTCCACATGATAAGGCACACAGGTGAGAGGCCGTTTTCTTGCCAAACATGTGGAAAAAGTTTCCCATTTAGAAGTAAGTTGCAGGACCACATGAGAATGCACACAGGTGAGAAGCCGTTTTCTTGCCAAACATGTGGGAAAGGTTTCCCATTTAGAAGTAACTTGCGGGTCCACATGCAAATTCACACAGGTAAGGGGCCTCATCTCTGCACCACCTGTGGGAAGAGATTTCATTGCAAGTCAGTACTAAAAACACATTTGAGAGTCCACACAGGGGAGAAAGTTTTTTCGTGCAAAATGTGTGGAAAAAGTTTCACAAGAAGCTCAAGTTTGAAGATCCACATGAGAATGCACACAGGCGAGAGACCTTTTTCTTGCAAAACTTGTGGGAAAAGTTTTACAAGTAGAGCTATCCTGCTGGACCACATGAAAACGCACACAGGTGAAAGACGTTTTTATTGCAAAACTTGTGGGAAAAGTTTTACAAGTAGAGGTACCCTGCTGGTCCACATGCAAACAGACACAGGTGAAAAACCTTTTTCTTGCATTAGTTGTGGTTAAAATTGTGTGCATGCACAAACCATGCACRATCACCAGAGAACGCTCAGAGGCAAGAGGCCTTATTCTTGCAACACTTGTGGAAAATGTTTTATATGTGGACGTAGCTTTAAAGTCCACATGAGAAGCCACAAAGRTKAGGRGCAGTATCACTGTACAAAATTCTGGGGAAAGATTTGTTATCTAATCACTCCTAACAAAACATCTGAGTACCCACACATGACAAAACAATATATTTRTAAAATGCTGATCTTTGACTTGCCAGTTTATACRWAGTCCACAGGAGAACACATCCAGTTGAGAAGCCAAACCATGGCAACATGAGAGGGATACGATTTGCTGAAGCRTCCTCAAAKAATTTGTTACTTAGTTATTGATTTATTAATTAGTGATATCGTTTTTATATATACGCATTTTTAGACTTAACTATCAAATGGATGTGAACACCTACAAGTTACATTAAGAGTG